TCTGAAACCAGTAGACTGCTCTCGTGCGTCACCTCCATATTGCACCTCCTTAAAGGCAGGCGGCTTCAAATGCGTAGCAAAATCACTCGGAGTAAATTGCATATAATCAAGTTTTTGAATTGTTGGAAATATGAGAAAATTACTACGAGATTTAATCCGAATAAACAAAAGATAAATCATGACTGCAATAGCATAGATTAAACTAATTATGTGAACTAGCATAGTAGATGAACAAATCACATCTAAGGCACATACTAGAAACATGAATTGTACCACGATCTCGAATAGTAAGGATAGAATCACATACGGTGCAGCAGGAGCAGCACCGCCGGCGTTGACGTTGTCGCCCATGTCGTCGAGGATGAGGTTGCCGAGGTTGGGGAAGAAATCGTCGTTGGCGAAGTCGTCGCTGCCAGCAATCGCGCGAGTGCGCTCCCCAAAAACCTGATCGCCCCTCTCCCGTACAGGATCACGAGAGGCGGGGTTCCGGAGGCCTGTTGTCCCTTCTTCCAGTGCACACCGAAAGGAGGGATGGAGAAGACTTGCTTGGCGGCGCAATGATCTGGAACGGTGGTGCGAAACCATACTAAGTGGCGGCGGCTAGGGTAGGCGTCTGCCTAACTATATAGACAATGTGCATAGCTCTGTCATCAGCTCGGCTTAATCCCGCGTCGCGTCGAGGCGAGGCGAGGCGAGGCGTGGCGTGGCGAGGCGAGCGAGGAGGAGGAGCGCGCGTGTAGGTCTTCTCTTCTCATGATCATACAAGTGGTAGAAGAGCTCACCTTATAAAGAGGTTCAACTCTCTCTAAACTTTCATGGTGGGACTAAACTCTAGTCTCACTCACTCCACTCACATGTGCATGAATGGGCCAAGAAAGTTTCAGAATATTAGTTGGGCTTTGGACCAAAGGCCTACTAGCAAAATTCCAACATATCCTAGTACAAGTGGCCGGCAATGGCCCATTCAATTAGGACAAAGCAGCCTTTTCCATTTCTACAAAGTACTAAACGGGCTAAATTAACACATAAACAAAGCACGAAACATTGAGCACCCAGACTACACAAACACAACACTAACAATAAACAGATACTTATAGAACTACTAAATGCGCACGTGCAGCGCACGTTGATATTTAGGCAATATATTAATTGCACGTGGATATTAGGTATGATATTATTTGTGTGTTTTTGTGATTAGTGCAATATTTGGTACAATATTAATTGCACGTCAAACACGTTGAACGCTCGCCATTGAAGCACTCTACATCGTTGGATTCACCTAGTTTGATGGCCGAGATCAGTTGGATCTGCCCCTTTAGGTCTTTTTATATTGGTATAGATAAACTGATAACACTAAAGACTATAATTTCTCCTACTAATTCTGACGGAAACAGCAAGACTCTGCTACGTATTTTTATTGATTTTTAAATAATAATAGAAAGCCCAAAAGATAGCAAACAGCAAGCAAAAAGAAATAAAGAATACAAACAAGAAAATTACAACAACACTGCTCATTAGAGGCTAACATATACAGATGTATATATATATATATAGTTGAGTTGGTCATCCGAAAGACTGCACCTAGTGAGGCAGAGGCACAAAGGGCTTCGTCTTGGCCCTATGTGTCAGAAGCTTGAGTTCTTCCTTTACTCGCCACCTCCAGGCATAAAGGCTAGGGGGCACGTTGTTGAAGACAAAGTCATTCCTAGTGTTTCATATAGCCCAAGCCACATGAATAATAATATACATAGCAAATGGTAGATGCAGATAATCTTTGAGCTTGGTAACCTGTGCTTGAATATCAGAAGTAATTGGACTCCAGCTTGGGAAAATATAGGTCCAACACATATGAGCAAACCTGCAATAGTAAAACAAGGTGACCTCTGGTTTCCAAAGTGAAGTCATTACACATGGGACATGTGTAATCATCAACAAAGAATTTTTTTTTCTTTGTAAAAGTTCTCTGGAATTGAGCTGGGTCATCAGGAGGAGCCAAAAGAAATTTTAATGCTTGAGTTGGCTACATGTTTTCCAAAGAGACTATATAGCAGGAATTGTCTGATGGGATTTCTTATTCTTCTTCTTCAGCCATTACAACATGTAGTACACTAATCTTCCTCTTCATCCTAGGACATAATTTTCGGAGGGGCCTAACACTGGGTCGATTCCTATATACCGAAAAAGGCTTTCGCCACGCTTTATAAATAAAGCAAACCACCAAGAGTACACATACACGGACTAGTTCAGTACACACACACACCCGAGAGATATAACAACAATACAAAGGTTCTGCTGAGGGCACAACTCAACAAGCCCAAAACACAAAAAGAAAAGGCGGCCGCAGCCGGCGACGACGACAAAGTCCAACATCTAATCAAGCTCTGGAGGAGGCGTCGGCGATAAGCGGGCGGCCATCGAGCGAAGGTCGGCGATGAAGGCGACCCGATCCTGAGGGCGGCTAAGCAGCCGCCAGAGCTGCAAGAAACCAGACAATTTGAAGAGAGCGTCAGTGGCACGTCGGAGAGGGATGCACTGAATCACAAGCCTATTGCAGATGGTCCAGAGGGTCCACGCAAGTGTGCCAATCTCGAGCCACCTAATGTGGCGAGAGGGCAGAGGGGAATTCTAGAGTAGCACCCCGGTACCAACACTACACTATTCGGATCTTGCCATCTCCCGTAGACTTCACATGGAATCAATCACAAGGACATTAAAGACACACACACACACACACACACACGCACAC